AAAAAAAATTAATAAATAGGAGTTGAATGAATAAATGAACTCTAACTCTGCTTTCTGGAACAGCTTAGAAGAGGTTGCATCCCTCTTTTACCTAGCAGACTTCCAAGTATCGGATGTAGTTATCATGACTCCTCCAAGTTTCTTCTTGTCTACAATATACAGATGGGCTGGGTTTTTTTTCCACAAGTAAAAGGGATGCCCTGAACTAGATCTAATTCAAAAACAGCTCCAATCTTCTTCACCCAAATCTAATTCTAAACATGCCCTTCACACAGCTCTAACCTTCCACCTTAACCTCCCGTCTGACCCCAGACTTTTAATCCTCTTTCCTGAGCTTCATTCCCGACTGTGGGCTCAAACTCTACGTAGGACGTTTACCCTGTATGTTCTCTAACTTCCAGGGGCCACCCGTGACCCATCCTGGACTCTGCAAACCGATTACCTTGATCTCGCTGAACTGGGCTACGTAGTTTTCCATGGTTCTCACTGCCTGGTCAGCTAATTTCTCTTCGTAGTCTTCCCAAAGGAGATCATTGTTCTGTGGGGGCAGAGGCAGAGGGCAGTGGTGAGGGCCCCACTTCTCAGCAACAACCGCCTACCAAGGGAAAGCCCAAATTCTGCCTGCCACAGACTTCCTTTTTTGGAGCGCTGTATTTAGAATATCACGTTGGGTTCCGGTGAAGAAGTCAGGTGAAGGAACAGCCCTTCCCGAAGGGGCTGCCCTATAAGACACTGGGCGTACATTCAGGGATTAAGAACAGGAAGAGATGGTCAGAGTTTTGGACTCTAGAGCTTGGAGGACAGGCAAATTTGGGAGCACAAAACTGCATGAAGTTAACTTTCAAAACCAACCACTTGGGTTTTATGGAACGGAAACTTCCGTAAGGTTTTAGGAGGGGGAGAAGGGCAACAACGGAGGAATCCGTAGACTAGGGAAAACTTGTTTTGACCTCCATAGTTATTGCTTTTTGCTACCGCCCGTGACCGAGGCCACATAAATGAACGATGCGGATTGGCTCCTTTGTTTATCCATTTGCTGGGATACAGAAGCAAAGATGAGGCTGAGATGAGGGCAGGAGTCAGTGCCAGAAGAGGTGTCTAGTCCAAACGCTCTTACCCCTACGATGGCCTTCAGCTCGTCGTGACCGTCCCACTCGTTGCTGTAGATCTCCTGCAGGGTTTCTGACACTCGTTTTGAGCTCTCATGCATCACTGAGAGGAGAGAAGTCACGTCTACCATAAAGTTTCCCCCAAAGTAGGCTGGTATAATCATACGGGTGGACAGGCAAAATCAGTGGGTCTACTTCAGAAGGACGCAGACCAAGAAGGTTTGGGTTATCCGTGAGGAAGGTTTGGGTTATCCGTGAGTTGCTCCTGCTCTGCCCACAAGCCCCAGGACTCAGGGGCAGGCAAGTAAGTGATCAAACACCTGAGAATGGTTGTCTTTCTTTCCGCGCTCAGACTTCTCAGGAGCTCGAATCCCCTGTGCTACGCAATACCCACCTTTGACGGCGCTAAGGAAGTTCTTCAGGTCCTTGTAGAGCTTCTGGCCTTCTGCCTGAAAGGGAGAAGTGCTTTCAGTGACCGAACAGATACGTTTGGAAAGACGCCTTAGAGGTCAAAGTTGAAAAGTAGGCTCAAAGCAGACGTCAATCCTGGAATCCGCAAATGTTATAAATGAGCCTCTGTTCTCTTTACCAAGAAGTTGTAGGTTATCTTTTTGGGGGCGATCTTTAAGTTGGGAGATTGTTCCCATGGCACTGGCAGATTTTCTTTCCTCTGTTTGTTCTCCCATCCAGTGAACAAAAGCCTACGCCCCGGGTTCCTCTGCTGGAAATATGTGTCCTCCGTGACCCTGTGGGTTATACCTTCCTCTCTGGGTTAAGTACATTGCTACCATCTTCTTAAGACAGTAGGTCTTCTCCCTCCTGTGCACCCTGACCATTCCTCTCCTCTCCTGATGTCCTTCTCTGCCTTGCCTCACTTTACCCTTCCCTTCCATCAGTCACATGTTTTACACTCTCCTTCAAACAGCCTCATCACTGATTCTCCTCCTGTTCCAACATCAATAGCTTCATCCATAGCTCTATCCATCTACCCAATTCTTTCTTTGTTCCCGTGTCTGAACTCTCATTTTTTAAAAAATATTTAATCTTGAGAGAGAGACAGAGATAGAGACAGAGAAAAAGTGTGTGAGTGAGTGGGGTAGGGGTAGAGACAGAAAGAGGGACAGAGGATCCAAAGGGATCCAAAGTAGGCTCCGTACCGACAGCAGAGAGCCTGATGTGGGGCTGGAACTCATGAGCCATGGGATCATGACCTAAGCCGAAGTCGGATGCTTAACTGACTGAGCCATGCTTGTGGAGTTTCAGCCCCCACATCGGGCTTCCCTGCTGTCAGCACCCCAGGACCACTTTTTTGGATCTCTATAAGGTTCCCTTCTCTCTTCTCTGCCCCTGTTTAAAGCCTCTCTCTTAAAAGTAAATAAAGAAAAGAGAAAAGAAAAGAAGAGAAGAGAAGAGAAGAGAAGAGAAGAGAAGAGAAAAGGAAAAGGAAAAAGAAAAGAAAGAAAAAGAAAAAGAAAAGAAAAAGAAAAGAAAAGAAAAGAAAAGTCAAGTCCTTGAGCTTGAAATGCCAGGGGCTCTAGGGACATGAACACGAAGTCTCCAAGGGAAGCGCTCAAGAGACACTGTCAGGCAAGAACCTGCATTGTAGCGGTATCACTTCATAGCAAGTATCAGGAGAGAACATCAGAGAAATGACTTACGGGGCGGGGGGGGGCGGGGGGGGAGGTGCGGGTTCAGGATGTTATAGAGTATCGTTGGCACAGTACTGGACTCAGTAACCGGATGGCTCACTTTGGTAATCTTGAGAAAGTGCTTTCTCTTCAATAGCATGATTGGACGGTCAGTCAAATAATCAAAATTGTGTGAAACACTAGTGATTCATCAGATGTTCTTCCTCAATTCCTTCCTTTGTTTTCTTTTTCATTCATGGGAAAAAGTTGACACAGCCCAAGATGTTAAACTTTACAAAAGCTTTTAAAGATGAAAAATGGTAGGTGGGGTGTAAGTTTGAGATGCCTTTTAAAAAATGTGACAGCCAAGGTTTGAAAGTGAGTTTTGAGGATTATAAAAACACCAACAAGGATTCAAGTTCTTTTAATCTTTTTTCATCGTTTTTATTTATTTCCAGAGACAGAGCATGAGCAGGGAAGGGGCAGAGAGAGAGAGGGAGACACAGAATCGAAGCAGGCTCAGGCTCTGAGCCATCAAAGCACAGAGCCCATGTGTGGGGCTCACAACTCAAGAATCGCAGGGAGATCATGACCTGAGCTGAAGTTGGATGTTTCAACCACTGAGCCCTATTCTCAGTTCCTTTAAAAGAAACAAATGAATTCAACTTATCACCATGAAGATTTGGCTAAAGTATTGGCTATTGGAAATAACAACCTGTTAAACCATCTTGCAGTATAATTTCTTTTTTTTTTAGTTCTTAAAATGTTGTTTATTCCCATTTTGAAAGACAGAGACAGAGCACAAGCTAGGATGGGCAGAGAGAGGGGGACAATAAAAATCCAAAGCAGGTTGCAGGCTCTGGTGCCATGTCAGCACAGAGTATTTAATGCTAAGCTCAACCCAACCATGAGATCATGACCTGAGCCAAGTCGACGCCAATGGATCAGAGCTACCCAGGTATGCTCTCCATTCTTGCAGCAATTTCTACAAATGAAACTAAATTGTTTTATCCTGAGTTGACATTATATGGGTCTCGACAATCCCACCGAATTAGTAATTGTTGCTGCACGCGGCATGCATCGGCGTACTTATGTGGCGTTGCCCAAAACCAGGGGAAGCCTCCCAACACCACACCCAGAGTCCATAAATGTGAATGCCTTCTTTTTGCCTTCCAGGTGGCACCTCAAAGTCAACTCCCCCTTACTTTTGGGGGGATCAAGCCTCCAGGTCAAGTTCTTCCTTAGGCTCTTGCTTTTTCCTTTGAGGAGAAGTGTGTGTGTGTGTGTGTGTGTGTGTGTGTGTGTGGTGTGTGTGTGTGTATGGGGGAGTGGTAATAGTGGGTAGAAGGGACGCCTGTGGGGTGTCATTTATTTTATTTCACTTGACCTGTCTGCCCTCCTCTACCTGAAATGTCTCTAGTTGGAACAACAATCCTAGCCTTCTTCTTTCAGACTTTATTTGT